CGCTCCTCCACGCCGAGCTTCAGCCCGCGGAGCTGCTGCGGGCCCCAGCTGAGCACCCCGACCCGCTGCGGCTGCTGCTCCGGCAGCGCGGGGCTCAGCCCGCCGCGCTCCTCCTGCGCTCCCCGCCGGGGGCCGCCCGCTCCCACCGCCCAGCGCACTCGCTTGCCCCCCAGAGGCCGCGCGGTCCCGCCCCTCCAGATGGTGCGGCCCTCGGCGCCCGCTCACGCCCGGGGCCCCCCTGGCCCGGCTCCTTCCGCCGCGTCCCCCTTCCTCGCGAGCCCGCGGCACCCGCCCCCCGGGTGGCCACCCGTCCCGGGCCCGCCTCCCCGCCCTCGCCTGCGGGCGTCCGCGTCCGCCCGCCGGGCGCCGGCCCCCCGCAGGTGCTGCGGCCCCGCGCGCAGCCCAGCCCAGCCTGCGAGCGAGCGCCCTCCCGCACTGGGTTCCCGGAGCCCGCCTGCGCCTGCGCCGCCCCGGATGGGGCGTGCCCGGCGGCGACCATCCGCCCTCTTAAAAGGCCCCGGGCCCGTTACTCCTCCCCTTTTAGGGTGTCCACAGTTCCCCGGGCCCATCCTCTATTTCCGCGTCGCCCCCGGGCGGGTCTGGGGGCCTCCGCTCTGCGATGTCAGAGGGAGGTGAGGCAGAGCAGCGGCTGGGTCGGAAGGTCCCCGGGAATCCGTGGGGCCACGCGGAGGAGCCCCCCGTGTGTCTCCCATCCTAAATTGCTTCCCGCCTGGCCTCCTGTTGCTTTGCATCTGGAACTTAGCGACTGTCTCGGCAGGTGTATCCAAGGTTACCTGCAGCCAGGGTGGAACTAGCATCTTCTCTGGAGCAGCTCCAGGGCGGGGACCTTGACTCCCACCCTCAGCGAGGTAGGTCTCCCAATTGAGCCCTGTGGACGCTTGTCGCTGAAGCATTGTGCGCTCTGGGCAGAGGGACCTTCTTCCTGCACAGCCCCTCTTAGGCCCTGCCCTCTTGAGCTCTCCTGTGAGTTCCGACTCCCAGTGACCACACCCCTGCAGCCCCAGATCTGCACCCACCTGGGAGGCAGCCCCAGGCAGAGGGAGTTAGAAGCACCATCCATCAGGGTCCTGTGAAGATTGTCCCATCTGCCCCATTGGCACTGGGCCTCCAGGCCATGGCCATAGGGAAGAGGACTATGGGAAAGGAGTTGTAGATGCCTCCAAAACAGAGCTTAGAATGGATCTCGGGTCACAGTGCTTTGCAATTTGCTACTATATCAAGACACCATTGGGTGTGAAGCCTGCCACTCCCCCTAAGGAGCCACCTACAGAATCCTGTCACTGTCCCACGGCCAGCCCAGGGATCTGGCCTCAAGGGAGACACTGGGGACTCTGAAACGTCCACTCTCCACGCTCCCTCACACTAGCACCTTGGTGATGGGGGAACACCCTGCACCTTTCATTTCCTTTTTTGTCCAGTCCCCACGACAACTGGGCAAAGTCTGTCATCATCCCCCTGTTGCAGCAGATAGCACTTCTTGAAGCTGCCCGTGGCTAAGTGGCTGGTTCAGAACTGGGGGTGAAGTGAGCACTGCCAGCCCACGTGGTAACTCCTGGGGTTGCGCTCTGTAGCCTCTTGAGACCGCGTGAGCCTGGCTTAATGGATTTCAGCGGTCAACAGCTGCCAACAATGGATTGCAGCAAACCTGCCTGCCAGGCGATCCAGCTGCAAATCAAAGCTCCACACTGCCCCTCTGTCTGGCTCCCTTTATTGATCCTCTCTGCAGGGTCCTCTGGAGCGCTAGGCTGGATCAGGCACTAGTTGTCTCATCTCCACACTGTCCTGTGAATCCAGGACTGACAGACTACCCTGTAGCTAGAGAGCCAACTGGGTGATAGAAGCAAGAGGCTGCAGGAGATGGCGAGGTGGCTGCGGGGATAACCCCAGTGCTGTGACATGATATGCCTGAGCCAGCCTCCTCCCAGATCTGGCCCGGGAGGAGAGCTGTCCAGGGGAGAGTGACTCTGCAAGAAGCAGGGCTTGTCAGGGCTAGTTCTAGGCAAAGGGGAGCCAAGCTGCTTGAGGGAGGCCTTTGGTGGTGAGCTGGCGTGAGGGAAGCAAGGGGGCAAGGAAGGCATTGCTGGGGTCCCTGGGCAGTATGGCTCACACCCCCAAGCAGGTGTTCCCATCAAAAGGTGGACATGGCTGGGTGACTAGGTGATGTTTTTGTTGTTATAGCTGTTTTGCCTTTTAAAATAGAAACCATTAGGGCCCGGCACCATGGCCTAGCAGCTAAATCCTCACCTTGAACTCACCAGGATCCCATATTGGTGCCGGTTCTAATCCCAGCAGTTCCACTTCCCATCCAGCTTGTGGCCTGGGAAAGCAGTAGAGGACGGCCCAAAGCCTTGGGACTCTGCACCCACATAGGAGACCTAGAGATTCCTGGCTCCTGGCTTTGGATCAGCGCAGCACCGGCCATTACAGTCATTTGGGGAGTGAATCATTGGACAGAAGATCTTCCTGTCTCTCCTTTCTACGTATTTAACTTTGTAATAAAATAAATAAATCTTAAAAAATTAAAAATTATTTTCACAATCCCTTGTGGGATTGTTGAACTGTTTCGCGGGAGGTTAAACTGAATCTGGTGAATTTGGACTTTTTTAATGACTGGAAATGTCATTTTTTGCACCTTTAGAAATGTTTATTTTCATCTACTGAAAAGGGACAGGGAGTGCAAGAGTCAGATCTCCCATCCTCTGGTTTCCTTCCCCAGTGTCGGATGCAGCCAATGCTGGACCAGGTCAGAGCCCAAAGTCGTAGCCTGGAGTTCCAGGTCTCCAGGTCGCCCATGTGGGTAGCAGGGACTCAGGCACTTGCATCATCACTCCTTGCCTCCCAGGAAGCGAGGCAGGTCTCTAGAGGCCAAGCAGCTAGGACATGCACCAGCAATCCAGGAGAAGGCGTGGTCTCCCACTGTCACATCCATCCCAAGTTTCTGAACTTTACCAAGGTGCACACACAAAGGAGTCCAGCAACTTGCATGTTTACAGAGTGAATATACCCAGTTCCCAAACCAAGATATGGAGCATAGCAGCACCCTGGAAGACTTCCAAAGTACAATTCCGAAAAGAAACTGGTCTTCTAGCAGGTCCTCACTACTCATGGTTTAACTGATTTCCTCCTGCCTCCACCACATATCCAGAAACCCCACAACAGGGTTTTTGTTCAAAGCACAGGCAACCACAACAATGCCCAGCACAAAGTAAGTGCCAAACATCTGTGGACTGAGAGGGCATCACATGGCAAGTTTTGTTTCGTTATATGCAGAGATATGCATGTGACCTCTTGGTGTAGATCATAGTCAAACATTCTGAAGCCCTCTGCTACAGCTTGGCGCAGGTTGTAGGATCAGACTAAAGACATGGGGTGGGGATGAGATCCTATTGTGATGCAGATTCTAACCAGACAAGTTGAAGAGGAAGCCTAGGAGATCCAGCTTCCTAAGCATCCAGGTGCAGGTCCACACATCACCTCTTGTGTAAGAATTCCATGGAAAGCTTTCCGAATGCAGATGCCCAGCACCACCCCCAAACAAATGGGAATTTGGGATGGGGTTAAGCCTCTGCCTTTTTAAAAAGTTTGCTAGTTTGTTCCAATGTGTCAGAAATGGGCGGTGCTTGGCTAGAAGGGACACTTGGACATGGAGGTAGAGGGACCAGAGATGCAGATCTTTCCTTTCTCCATGCCTAGCAAAACCCTTAGCTGAGGCCAGAGGAAGGGCAACTGCTCGCTAGGGCAAGTCTTGATTTGACCAAAAAGGTATTAGAGTAAGGAATCAGGTTTCTGTTTCTCAGTGAAAATGGAGACTTCTGAAAGAATTCTCAGGTACAGGGTGGTTTGTGTGCTGACCACTTCCTCCCAGGTTCTGGAAAAGGCTTTGCCTGCTCCCTGCCATCCCCCTAATCAGAGCCCCTCAGAGCTGCTAAGGACTCCCCAGCACACACTTGGCCCCCAAGCAGTTGTTTTCAAATACCTTACTAGGGAATTAAGAGGAGGTGCTGCCAGCCTTTCCCACACACCTGTGGCCTCTGCCCAGCTAGGGCCAAGAGCCAAATGAGCCAGCCAAAAGGTTACAAATCCTCAGGTCACAGAGTCCTGCAGTGACGGCCCCTGGTGGACAACCTGGAGAGTTAGTAACTATGGCCCAGGGAATAAATAACTTGTGACCTTTTGAGTTGTGGTCCAGTACACACATCAAACTTCTAGCGTAAGGGTCAAGACTAATGATTTGAAAGTCTGGTTTCTATCATTCACCTGCTAAACTCGCTGAAAACCACTGTACTTAAAAAACGAGAAGTGGATGTCTGACCTAATGGTTGAGAAGCTGCATGCTCCTGACTGCTGATGCACTCTGGGAGGGAGCTTGGGGGTTCCTGTCACACCCACGTGAGAGTTCCGAGTTACTAGCTTAGTCCCACAGGCTGCTGGCATGAGATCCATGTGTGTGCCTTTCAAATACAAAATAGTTTTAAAATAATCTTTGAAGTCAACTCACACTGAAGGGAAATGAGTAGTGGTTGACTCACCACTGGATGGTGAAGTGCTTTTCTCACTTCCGTCCTTTTCTGTTGCTCTTGTGCCTCCTCTGCTTCAAACTCCCCCTTGGTAGGTGGCGCACAATCCCTGGCTGGCTAGGTCTTCCTCCTGCTGCACTGATGCAACCTGCAGCTTTTCTGGCCACCCTCTCCAGTTGGGTGAGCCCATTTTTCACTCCCTTCCACCACCAAATCTGAGTTAATTAGACCCAGATGTACAGTGCTCCCTGCCCTCCTTGGTACCAGCTCTCAATCAGCAATGGAATCCAAGCTCCCCCCACCCCGCCCAATCCCATGCAGCCCTCCTTCCCCTTCTTTTTCCCTGGTTCTCCTGTTGCCTGCTACCCACTCAGGCCCCAAGTACTGCAGGCTTCCATCTCACCACCTCCTCTCCTGACTCACTTCCTCACTTGGGAAGAATCCATTTGAAAAAATGACAGCTCAGTGTTCTAGCATTTTATTAAATCAGATAAGGAGTCTCCAAGTTGTTGCATACTGGTTTGTATAAGGGCATATCACTTGTTCACAAAGATACAGCTCAACAGTAGGATGGCAAGTCTAACATTTGAAGAACATTCAAATAAACACAGTAAAATGTCATGCAAGTTCTAGAACAGTGAATCATGATGAAACTCACTCAACTTGGCCTTTATCTTTAAAATGCAAAGTTATCTTTAACCAGAAGAAAAACTGACTACAAGTTGTCACTAGTCAGATATATATATATAGTTCCTTAAAAAACAGTCTCTTGTCACTGGTTTACTTGACTGGAAATAGGTCTAAGCACACAGAAGGTTTTTGGAAGATTTACTTCTGTCAAATATAGGCCCTGTGTTCACATAACTTCATGAAGTCAATGAGCTTACCTTCAAGCATGGATAGATGATGTCCAAACCTGGAACCCCAGCTATGGCTATTTTATTTATTTACTGATAAAACATTGTGACAATTAAAAAAATGATTCATTGAGGTTCTCAATAACCTAAGTCTATTGTAGCTTAGGTTAAGGTCAGTGCCACTAAACCCCTAAGTGATTCCAAGGATTCTAGGTTTATGGTGATGGCTGGTCTTTGCTCACATTGCCTCCAACTTACTTTCATGTCTACACCTAATTTCCACTCAACATATCAATAGGTAGGTAGGTAGGTAGACATGAACAAAGACCCCTTTATCAGCTTTGCCTCCTGTAACCTTTACTTCCTCCACCACATCTCCTGCAGAAGTTGCTCCCAGTTTAAGCCAAAAGGTCAATTCTGGATTTAAACTTGTCTGAACTAGGTCTACAGGAGTTAACATGCAAATACTGGGACAAAGTTAAATTCATTTGTCAACAGCAAACATTATAAATGTATGCTACTATCCTGCTAAACAGAAGACTTAGGAGAAGCCACAAACAGGACAACACCCACATCAAGTTTAAAAAAAAGTAATAATTTTATAGCAAGTGAATTCACCCACCAAATGCTTAATGACTACTACAACTAAAAGACAATTACAGGGGGTTGGGAATACATGTTAGATACTAACGATCTTCAAGCTTTGAAGACGTCATTGCATGAAGAAAATTATGGGAAACACTGTTCCCGATAATCACGTACACCCTTAGTGTAACATATGGAGATCACTGTCTCCGATATAGACACTGTGGTAGGCAAAAACTACCTTGTTCTTTATACATTATGGAAGACACTGCCCCCGATAATGTGAGTTAGGATTCTGACAAAGGTACTGGAAATTTTGCAAGCCTGGAGAAGTTGAGCTGTTAAGTCATGGGTATGAGTACTGCCCACAGCCTTCAGGTGACATATGTTTAGAACCCGGTCATAGTTTATGACATTTAGGAGAACTATCGTGTTTAGCTGGTCAGCTAAATACAAGTCTACCTTGACTGGCTATCCCTAATTATTTTCCAATCCTTAGCTTTATTTATTTATTTATTTATTTTGGCAGGGGGGAAGCTTGAGGCTGTTTTCTAAAACCCTCTAGTGTTGTTCATAAATGCAAAACTTCCAGTATCTATTGGGTTTTATTAGCAGATGCTGCTTTTATTCAAAAAAAACGACAGTATAACTGTCATAATTATGGAAGGCACTGCTTCCGATAATTATCTTCTATAAAAAAAACACCATTTATAGTGAACTCTGTCACTGATAAATAAACAATAAATATCTCAGTGCCAAAATGATAGAAAGCTTTCCCAAAATATAGACACTTTGGCCAAAATCTGGCAGTGTGTTCTTTAAAGTCTGACAAACTGAGTCGGAACACCTAAAACTGGTTCTCTTTCAAAATACTTTGGAAGAAAAAAAAAAAAAACAAAAAAACAAAAATAACAAATAACCAAACAGACTCACGGGAGCAGGGGACGGAGGAAAAGAAAACCCATTAAGTCTTTGGCTTCTGGTCTCCTTTGTCATAAATAATATTGAGGTGAACACATGAAGGCCTCACTCCTGCAATGAACAGTTGAACCTCATTTTATCCAGCTCAGGCACCTCCACTTCAGATCTCCCTGCAAGAAAACAAGTCCCGACTCTTCTGAAAGTTAACTGTTTCATACAGGGATGTGGAAACCAGCTAATCCTTATGGAAAGACATATATCTCGCGGGGGAATATGATCCTACAACAGAGGATCATCTCATGCAGTCACTTCAGCTCCTACCTCAAAAGATACCAGCTCATGTCCTTAGGATTTAGAGCAATAGTTTTTGTAACTGGTTCTGACATTTCTGTAACTGCAACAGGAAAGAGGCAGTGACCATTATAAAGCACTTAAAATTCTATAGATAATCGGAGAAAATCTTCTATCGAGGACATTTTTAAGTGGTTATTCAGTTTAACTTGAAGTGCAGGTACCTACCCTGTATTAAAAAAGTTGCTGCCTAAAGACATCTAGTAGTAAAGATACTCGGGTGGATTTTTAACATTAAGTTTTGTAGCCCTACTAAAAATTTAGCTCACCAGATTACCCTGCTGTTCCTAACGTAAATTACGAGTATCACATTTAAAACTCATTGTCAATGTCCCAGATGTCGCCAGAGAGGGCATTTGCAGCTCCCTGAATGGTCCAAGTAGCTAGACCCAACTGGTTTCTCAACAGTGTTTCATTAAAAGCACCGTTATTTTGATGACGCAGGCTCAGGTTCTCCAGCAGAGCCGACAGGGTGTGAGAGCCAGAGCCATAGAAGATATGTCGGAAAGGAGAGTCCCTTGGAGACACATAGGGTGACAGGAAGTGATATTCCACCTAGGAAAAGAGAATACATATCACAGCTCATCCAGTGTTGTTCTGTCTGGTGAGAAAAATCGCTGTCACACTTACTTCAAATGCTATAAAGTGGAAACTAGCACATCAAGAAAATACATTGCAGTATGCATCTCTACTCCTGAATAAAAGATGGACTCCCCAATGAAACTGTTAAATATTGAGATTTCCAGGGCTTTAGTGGGTATATACAAGATGCTTTAAACAGTTCATGGAAAACAGAATTAAAAGATTAATTATTTTTACTGTGAAACCAGATTTACAGAGGAGAAACAAAGATCTTCCATCCACTGGTTCAATCCCTAAGTGGCTGCAACAGGAGCTGCTTCTGGGTCTCCTACATGGTTGCTTAGGCCATCCTCTGCTGCTCTCCCTGGCCACAAGCAGACAGGATACAAACCGGCACCCATATGAAATCCAGGCAGTTCCAAGGTGAAGATTTAACCAGAGTGCTGTGCAGGCCCTCTCAGCAGCTTTTTGAAACTCCCTCATATATATAAAAAATTGACAAGTCTTTTTTTCATGTAGACTGGATTAAAGTAATTAAGGCTTAAAGAAAGCCTAATCTAGACCAGAGAAAAGAAAATTATGGTGGAGGGGCTCTTGCAGTAGTAGTATATTAAGCTGCCATCTGTACCACCAGCAGGGCTGCCACTCCAAGTCCTCACTACTCCAGTTCCAATCTAGCTTTCTGATAGTGAATATAGGAAAGGAACAGAAGATGGTCCAAGGACTTGAGCCCCTACACCCGTGTGGAAGACACAGAAGAAACTCCTGGTTTCAGTCTGGTCCAATCCAGGCTGCTGCAGCCATTTAAGGAGTGCAACTCTGCTTTTCAAATAAATAACTATTTAAAAATTTTAATATTTTTGATAGCCAGGCCCAGCGCAGTAGCCTAACAGCTCAAGTCCTTACCTTGAACGCGCCAGGATCCCATTTTTGCATTGGTTCTAATCCCAGCAGCCCCACTTCCCATCCAGCTCCCTGCTTGTGGCCTGGGAAAGCAGTCGAGGACAGCCCAAAGCCTTGGGAACCCTGCACCCACGTGGGAGACCCAGAGGAAACGCCTGGTTCCTGTGTTTGGATCAGCGCAGCTCAGGCTGTTGTGGCCGCTTGGGGAGTGAACCATCAATGGAACCTCTTTCTGCCTCTCCTCATCTCTGTATATCTGACTTTCTAATAAAAATAAACCAAATCTTTAAAAAAAAATTGAGAAGATTTTAACTTACTTTCATGATACGGTCATTGATTTCCCTGATGGTAAATCTGTTGGTTTTTTCTGCATTTTTGAAATCCGTCGTTAGCCTAGTAGTAGCACGGAAAAAGTCTCCACGAGCAGAATACAGCCACTGGAAGCTCAGGCCCAGCTCCTGCGACAGGAGTTCAAGATTCACCGTTAGATGCTGTATTTCTAATACATTTGATTTCTAATTTAGGTGTGGCAGATGAGAAGCTTCTGATCAAAGGAAGCAGCTCGGGAAAGCTCAAGACATAGGGAGTCAAGCACCTAGTACAACATACTCCGAGCTCCACAGGCTGTGGCATGCTCTCCTCGTAAAGCCCAGCATAATTAACTTTAGAACATTCTCAACAAGAAATTTACTGAACATAGTCTACTTTGTAAAAGTGCTATATTGTTTCTGGCTTAATTTCTCTATGATGGAAAACATTAAGCATCTTGGTTAAATGGAATTCAGAATCCAGTATTTTTTTTATAATTTTTGAACAGTTACAATTACTTTCAGAGAGACAATGAGATGTGATTGTCAACAATTTACTTCAATTAAGGCACCTGTAACAAAGATGCTAGTGCCATAGAACCAAGTAGAAATTACTCACTAACATTAATGTTTGAATACCAGACACACAGGGTCAACATTAAGACTAATTATTAGCTATGTATGTTCTTTTTCCAACCATGTCAGGTCCAAAAGGCACAGCCCAAATTCAATTGTGGAGTTCTCTAGCTTCTAGCTGTTTATGGGTCGCCTGGAATACATGAATCACAGAAAACACAACTCTGGATTCTGAAATCTTTGCTGTGTTCTACCCAGAAAAACTTCCACAGCCTTCAACTTTTTTCCAAATGGGTTATGGATTCTAAGCAAAATCATACCTTAGCTTACTTTTAAAACGTACCTTGGCTACCAATTCTATCCCTCCCCAAGGAACAGCAAAACATTAAACAGTTTGATACTTGTACAATAAGAACCCTATTTTGGTCAGTGCTTACCTTGATATCCGCTCTGTATTGGTTCAGTTCCCTCAGAAATGAGAGGATTTTGTTGTTGTACATCTCATAATCTAGGTTCAACTCAATGTCGTGGGTGAGTTTAATAATGAAGTGACCGGCTACCTCTGCTGCTGTGCGAACCATCTTGTCCAGCTGAGGGACCTTCCCAATCAGTATATCGTAGGTATCCATGGTGGTACCCAGGAAAGGATAATCTGTGTCCTGCAAGGCAACGGCTCACACTGAAGCTGCCCATTCAAGCTCCCTTAGCTCACCCGTTCCCAACCCAAGTGCCTCTTCTGTTTGAAAAAATCACTTTTGCTACTTCCTGTGAATCTGACTTATTTTATCCCTAAAATGTCTGTTTCTTCTAGGCTCCACAGAATTCTATTCCATTTCATACACCTGAACAGATGTATGGTCAAATCCCTTGAGGTTGTATGTATGCCTTTAGGAAGTCTGATCCATGTTAATGCGGAAAGAAAAGTGTGCACAAATGTATTTTCAGTATAGAGTGTGACTAATGAGGCAAAATTACCTTCTTTCTATTCATACAATCCTAAATCATAGACTTTTCTAGGCAACCTCACCTCCTTTTTCAAATGTTCCCTCTAACCAGTGTCCTTGGCGATAACCTCACCGATGCCTCTGGTTTTCACCTCAAGCACCTTTACTACTGCACCTTACTCAGCACTGCTAGCTTCCAGCAGCTCAAGCCACATTTGAAACTTACAAAAAACATGACTTCAAAAGATCAAAGAGAAATCATCCATAAATTCTTCAGCCATAAGACCTGATACTTCATTCTCAGTGTACTGAAAAGTCATCATAACCAGAGCTCCACAACAGTCATCCTGCTATTGTTCAGGCTAAGAGATTTCTTAGCTATGCTAACTCTAGATTTTCCACTTTTCCCTCATTTCAGACTTTTTCCACTTGGTCACCGCTAAAAATACTGGGAGGGAAAAGCCCAGTAGAGACCTAGCTTCTACTGAATTGGCAAAGCTAGAGTCAGGAGCTTCCACAGTCTCAGGGAAAATGAAGGCTCTCTTTACCCTCAGAGCTAGCTTTCCAACTCCAGCATTTCCATACAGAAGCCTTCAGCATTCTGGTTATTCTGCCTGGTCTGTAGTCCCTCCTGACTGGGTTGTAATAAATCCAGTCCCTTTGCTCTAAACCTGTTGAGTTAGAACTCATGGCAACCTAACATGCTTGGGGTTTGCACTTCTGCCCAGGGCCTTGGCTAAGAGACCAAAATCATCTCTGGACAAACTTCAAGCACTGCCTTTTCAAGAACATCTAGAGCAGCACTGTCCAATCTGACTGCCTGATGGAAACATTCTATGCCTATGTTGTCCAACAGAGTCCCTGGCTGTCACTCAAAAAAAAGCCTTACTAAAACTCGTACTTCAATGACGAAATTTTAGCAATAAACTCAAATGTGAATTAGGCTGAGATAAACAAGACTTTATAACACAGATTGTTAATAAACTCAATGAGAAAGTAAATATAAGAAGCTCTAACAGATGATACTTCACTTACCTCACAAAACCAGAAAGAAACCGATGGGATTCCAGAATAAGCAAGGAAAGGGAAAGCAGCATCATCCAAAGAAAATTTCTCACTGCAAGGAAAAGTGAAAATTGTCTTCAGAAAGTTTAAGAGACAAAAAGACAAAAAACAAAAAACAAAAACAAAAATACTCTACCCCAAATACATTTAAAATTGAATCTCACAAGGTAAAAGTAAACCCACAGCCAGGTTCATTTAAATCTCTACTTTCAAACATGCTACTGGTCTACTGGCTTGTTCATTCATTTTTCTCAACTTACACTTTGCTGATCCAGTTGCTATCCTGATAAAGATACTGTCCAGTAAGTGGATGCTTCACCTGAAGGCAAAAAATAAATTTCACATTAAAATTAATCTAGCATTTTCCCTATAAACATCTATAAAACATCAAATTTTAATCATATCTTCTTAAACTTCAGAAAAATCAAAACACTCTCAAACTTAAGTTATTCCCTTTAGTTTCTCCGTTGGTTTTTTCAGGGAGAGGGAAAGTGTCTTCCTTCTCAATCAACATTCCCGTTCTATCCTTCATGGTTTGCCTTGTGTTTAGCACATTTTATACTTCAAACCCGACGCCCAGGGATATTACTGCCTCATTTGAGACCCTCTAGAAATTCTAATTTCCCACGAGACCAAGACAGAGTTCTTCTATCTGACCTTTATTGCTCTCCAACTTATAACGTGTTAATATACATACAGCGTCCGGCTCCATTCGGCAGATACCCTCTTTTCGTACGTTCTTCTATCATTTCAAACTGTGGCAGCTCGCGAATCTGTCTTTATGCAATGAATATTTCTAGGCCATATTTAAGTTTTAGGTATAATTCAAGTCCATTAAAACCTTCTTGAAAATCTGACTTTACAGACAGTACCCTGGGGGGACCTTTAACACAGTTCAGGCCTCACAGCACTTTATTGGATGTTCCAACAAATACATGCCATCTATTCTTTGAGATGAGATCCCATCACACACCAACTGTTTCACCTTACATAGTCCAACAGCCAGGGAGCCAAAAAACCCAAAGTATGCCATAAGTAATATTGCTACAGAATTTACTCCAAATTCTTGCTACTGGTCATGGTTCCAGTAACGTGATACGTTATTATTAGGTATATACTCACATCTTGCATTGTTTTCTCAATAAGTGTATACAACAGTGGACTGGCAGAAACCTTGAAGTTTCTGGTGCCTGCAAAGAAATTATTTTAGTGGCATTGCCACTTTTCTAGTTGAGCAGTTTTCAAAATTACATTTATACATCTAAACAGCATGACTTTACCTAATGTCAATGGCCTGCCACAATTAGTTAAAATTCAGGAGTCAAATTCTTCAGCAACTTAGATCAACCTGATTCAACGGCGGCTCCCATTCCTTGAATTTGCATAGTTTAAGTTGTTAAAATATTTATTTGAAAAGTAAAATTACATAGAAGGAATGAGAGATCTTCCATTGCTGGTTCATTCCCCAAATGACCACGGTGGCCAGAGCTGGGTCAGGCTGGAAACCAGAAGCCTGGAAGGGTGGCACCAGAACCAAATACTTGGGCCATCTTGTGCTGCCTCCCCAGCTGCACCAGCTGAGAACTGAATCAGAAGTGGAACAGGCAGGACTCAAACAGGTACCCATGTGATGCTATAGTTCATACACTGCAAATGCTTAATGCAATAAGGATTTAATTTTTTAAAGGCAGTTTAGGTCCATAGTAAAATTAAAAATTTCCCATGTATCTCCTGCCCTGACACACTGTACTATCTCTTCTGGTATCAATACCTTGACTGCTTTTAAAGTATTTCAGTCATCTGCTAATTACAGTATGGGAAAGCAATGACCAATCTATTATGAAGTTTTTTTTCTAACCAATTCCCTTTTCTTCAATGTAATCACTTTGCTACTCTCAGTTCTGATTACTTTCAGTGATGCTGTGTTCCAGCAGGATGTAAAATCAGTTTCTTCTGGTCTACAACATGGTCCAGCCCAGACATTCTAAATCTTCAGTGCATCTTCAAGCATTCACCTGGAATGCTTGTTAAAACAGTAGGTTGGATTCATGCTCCAGATTGACTAAATTCTTATTCAAAGTGCCCAGGTGATATTGATGCTACCTGGGGGCCACCCAGGCAGGAATGCCCCAGGGCCAAAGCAGAGCACCGAGGATGGTTAAATTAATCCAACTCTTCCATGTGGGTGACAGAATCCCAACTACCTGAGCCACAATCATGGCCTTCCACAGTGTGTATTACAAATAGGCCGAAATCAGAAGCTGGAGCTGGAAATTGAACTCAAGTAGGACATAGGCATCCAACCACTAAACCACACTCCTGTCTCTCTCTCCCTCTGCTGTTTTCTAAGTCATCTACATGAATCCATCACTAGCTAGCAAACATGATACTTACCAAGGACAACTTTATCCAGGTTAATGTAAGCGAAAGCCTTTAAATGCAAAGACGCAAGGTATCCCTAGAAGGGAAGGGAAAACACTACTATAATGTGCTTTTAACTATTTGTTAATTAATTCATGCTAATTAATACATTTATCACTTACAATAGATACTAGGGATTTACTCTGAACTCTAGAATCTATTGAGCCGAAGAATATGAAGACAAAACAGGACAATCAAATAAAAAAGAGCCTGGATTCTGGAGAACAGCTTTAGCTTCAGACCAGCTCAGGTGCCCATTCCAGGCAAGGCAGACCTATAAATAATACCTCTAGCCATTCCGTGGCACCAACAGCTCCGAAGTCTCCAGCACTCCAGCTGGCAAAGATGATGCTTCTACTGGGTTTAAATCCACCTGAAAGAATGGGGAAAAAATTAGCCTTACATTTGGGAAAGATTACAGTCAGGCAGCTGACATAAGATGAATCAAAAGCTTCTAATTCAAGATAGCACACTTACAGATAAATAGGAATAAATAAAACTAACCTAACAGGAGCTCATCTGCAAACAGGATTTCAAGTATGCAACAGTAAAGAACTTAACAGAAGTAACCCTTCCAGCTCCAAATTGAAGCCACTCAGTAAGATGTATATCATCTTTGCAAAAAAAAAGTTCCGTTTAGAGAAAAGTCATTTAAGATCCTAGATTACTAGACCCAGTGCAGCAGCCTAGCAGCTGAAATCCTTACCTTGAATGCACCGGCATCCCATATAAGTGCCAGTTCTAATTCTGGTGACCCTGCTTCCCATCCAGCTCTCTCCTTGAGGCCTGGGAAAGCAGTTGAGGATGGGCCAAGGCCTTGGGGACCCTTGGGGACTCATGTGGGAGACATAGAAGAGCTACTAGCTTTTGATCAGCACAGCTCCAGCCATTGCACACACTTGGGCAGTGAATTATCAGACGGAAGACCTTCCTCTCCGTCTCTCCTCCTCTCTCTATGTATGACTTTGTAATAATAAATCTTAAAAAGGATCCTGGATTATTGCAAAATCATGAAATAGAATAAAAATTCTTGAATTTTTATCTGTGGCAGCTCCATCCCACCCACTTCAATTGCCTATCTAGGATATGAACATTTGAGAACCAGGATGGGGGCCCGGGACAGTGGCCTCATGGCTAAAATTCTCGCCTTGAACATGCCGGGATCCCATGTGGGTACCGGTTCTAATCCCAGTGGCTCCACTTCCCATGCAGCTCCCTGCTTGTGGCCTGGGAAAGCAGTCAAGGACGGCCCAAAGCCTTGGGAGCCTGCACCTGTGTGGGAGGCCTGGAGGAGCTCCTGGCTCCTGGCTTTGGATTGGCACAGAACTGGCCATTGCACTCACTTGGGGAGTGAATCATCGGACAGAGGATCTTCCTCTGTCTCTCCTCCTCTCTGTATATCTAACTTTGTAATGAAGATGGGAATAAATCTTTAAAAAAAAAAGTAAGCAGAACAAAATTTTAACTGCTGATAGGCCTTGGGTCATGAGTATAAAGGTATTCCACAGCTTTCTGATCGTTTACGAGCTAATACATCATTCTGGATGTTTTAAACTAAGAATTAGGCATCAATATAATATTTTTTCAATGTTGTTATATTACATCATACATTGAATTCCTGCTGCCATCAAGATAGGTTTTGGACAGCTGTTAGAAGGTAAAGGTGGCTCCAAAAAAAGACAATAGGCCTTCAACAAAGTTCTGAAGGTTACAAATATAGCACAAATCAGCCAGACTACAGGCAAAACAGAGCAAAGTATATAGCTATATGCAGCATGTAAAGTATTCAAAGCTACCAACATTCGTACTCTACCTTTTAAGACCATATCCGAGAATATCCGGGCCAGTTCCAATAGGAGAGCCGTTCCTACACTGGCCTTTGCTGCTCCTGGTCCCCAGGAGTCTCTTTGGGCCCCTACTACAATATAGCGATCTAAAACACAAAACAGAAAAGGTAACCCGCATAATGAGCTTTGAAGCCTTTTTCTAACACTGAAATCTAGAATAGGCACCAATAGAGGGGCACAATTCTAACACATGCATTAAGGATAAGAGCCTGACTTTAGATCTCTTCCTGTCCTTGATAACATTACTACTTTTTTCCTCCTTACCAATGAAGTTTACTAATTCCTTGTGTTCACTTAATTGCTTAATAAGTAATAAATAATGCTCTATTCTTTTTTTAAAAAATTGGGTTTTGTTGTTGTTTTCTTTTCAAGAACTATCTGAAGAGAGCTCCTATCCTTCCTCCACATGCCTACAGAGGTAGAGGGCCCCAGCTCAAGCTGAAAGCCAGGATTTCAGCGCAGGCTTCTTCAATCCACGGCTCCTTGAGCTGCTGTCTCCCAGCCTCCCAGAGTGCGCCTTAGCAGGAAGGAGAACTCGGAAGCAGAGCTGGAACTCAAATATCAAGCATATCAACAGCTAGGCTAAACACCCACCCCTCCTTTAAAAATTACATTACATTACTTTCCTTACTAAATGCTCAATCAAATGATATGTTTAGCAGATTACAAATGATATGATTACATGTAATGTTTATTATCTGTCTCCTTAGGAAAAATATTGTGGGGCTGGTGTTTTAACACAGAAGTTAAGCCACTGTTTGTGATGCCAACTTCCCACAGTAGAGTGCTGGTCCGAGTCTGTGTGTTCTGCTTCAAAGCAGCTCCCTGATACTGTGCCCGGGAAAGTAGTGACAATGGCCCAAGTACTCGGACCCGTGTGGAGACTCTAGTGCAGTTCTTGGCTCCTAACTCTGGCCTAGTCCCGCTCTGTACCACCTAGGAAGTAAACCAATGGATGGAAGATTCGCTCTCTCCCTTTCAAATAAACAAATAGAAAATAAGCCTCACTCCCTGCCAGTTCACAACTTTAAATAATTTTACCATCTCAACCAGTTTTTAAGCCATTTTTCTGGAGCTTTGATATCTCTCAATAAAAGTGATTCCCAAAATAGGTCACTTGAGGACAGACAAGCCAGCCCCCTTTCCTCCCCTGGTCACAGAAAACAGAACAACAAAGCCAAACCAAAGGTGTCACCTGGTTCCTCAAAGCCTTTAATGACTCCAAAGATGTTGAGAATTCGAATCTCTTTCAGCACATTGTTGACACTGAGCTTCACAGTCTTATCCTGGGATAACTGCAGCTTACAGGAAGCATCTATTTGCCACTCTGAAGGACAGTTTCCTTCCATATTTCTGCAAGTAGGAAAAGACCGTTAGAGTTTTCATCTTGTTACTTTTCTCAGGTTGATAAATTCATCCTACCCTGTATGCAGTGAAATTCTGGGCTAACAGAACAAAAGAACATATAAAATTTGTTTTCTAGCCATAAACCACTTACTTGGGTTTTCCTCCAATATGTGGGCAGTCAACTAAAACCTGTTAACTTCCTACTTTTACAAGCAATGTCCAGCAGCTAAAGTCTTTACCTTGCCCACTCCGGGATCCCAAATGAAAACCATGTAGTACCACCTAGCTCCAGTGAGACTGGCCTTCATTCAGAATTAACACCACCTGCTGACGTGGATGTGGGGAGAAAGGCACCCTCCTCCACCGCTGGTGGGAGTTTGGGCTAATACAACCACTGTGGGAATCAATATGGAGAGTGCTTAGAGAATTGCCAATAAGTTTGCCATATGATCCAGCTATCCTGCTCTTAGGAATATACCCAATAGAAATGAAATCTGCATATGAGAAGGGGATACGTAATCCTATATTTGCAGCAGCACAATCTACAAGAGCAAAGACATGGAAACAATCCAGATGTGCTTCCAAAGAAGAGTGGTTAAAGAAACTGTGGTACATCTACTCCATGGAATATTATTCAGCTATTAAGAAGAATGAATTATGCCATTTACAACTAGGTGGTCCCAACTAGACACCATTATGCTCAGTTAAATGAGTCAATCATAAAAGAATAAATACCATATGTTCTCTCTAATATAAGGAAACCATCACGGAAAGTAGCTTTAATAACCCAATCCATACTGTTTTTTGGGGGGGGAGAGGGGGAAGGGGCAGCATCCCATGTGTCTTGATGTTTTTTATTTCAGTTTTGTTTATTCCAAATGTCTCTTTTCTTGTTGAATTCATCATTGGCTCATGGCATCATTTTTCCCCAAGAGACATTTGTGTTTCTTTTTTGTCACTCATGTGTTGGTTACTCAGTGGCGCATTTCTTCACGTTGCTGTAATTTGTTGATGTTGATGTTGTAGCTGTTCTAACTCATACCAGTTGTTGACCTCGTTTCATGGCTTCTCCATTATGGAAATGTATAGTGTTAGAGTACTGGGGTCTATCATATACAGATGTGGGGGCAGAATGGAACATGCATTCCTGCTTCCAGATGAAAGATGGATCCCCAATGAAACTGTTAGACATGTGTAGACAATGGGATGCTGGATTGTCTGACATTATCTGTACCAACAATGTTGGGGTTCACTTAAATAAGAGACTGATAGAATTATGATTCTTTATGAAAGACTACACCATTAAACTGAGGGGCCTGTTGCTGTAGCCTAGCAGCTAATGTCCTTGTCTTGCACACTCCAGGATCCCAAATGGGCACCAATTCTAATCCTGGTGGCCCTGTTTCCTATCCAACTCCCTACCTGTGGCCTGGAAAAGCAGTTGAGGATGGCCCAAGACCTTGGGACCCTGTACCTGCAAGAGAGACCCTGGAAGAAGCTCCTGGTTCCTGACTTACAGAGTGAATCAACGGATGGAAAATCTTCCTCTGTCTCCCCTCCTCTCTGCATATCTGACTTCCAATTTAAAAATCTTAAAAGTCTAAGAGCCAGCACCATGATGTAAAGTAAAGCATCTACCTGCAGTGCTGGCATCCCATTTGGGTCCCAGCTCATCTACTTCCGATCCAGCTCCATGCTAAAAGTGCCTGGGAAAGCAATAAAAAGATGGCCCAAGTCCTTGGGCTCCTGCACCTAGACCCAGAAGCTCCTGAATCCTAGCTTCAGATCCACTTACTTTCTGCCACTGCAGCCACTTGGGGAGTGAACCAGTGGATGGAATATATTTCCCTCTGTCTCTTCTGTATGTAAATCTGAATTCCAATAAAATAAATAAATCTAAAAGATAGATACTAACACATAGGGAGGATATCCAGAAAAAGCATTCGCGATCACAAAGCATCTAAATCCCAAAAATATTGAGTCAGCAGACAGGAAAATCGTGCTGCTAAGAAGAAAACAAGTCCAGAGCTAATGAGCCTACCAGGAAATGAAATTTCAACATAAACTCAGATTTTCCCTAATACTGGAATGGCAGCAAATTGCATAACCATAGAAAATACTCAAGCAGGAACTATGTCAGGAATCCTACACTGGATAATCTAGGCGAGGGCTTGAGAATTTATAAATCTGATGTCCATGGTTAAGACCACATTATCAAAGAAAACTATCATTCTTCACTATTCATAAAATATCATTCTATAGGACAAAACTGCAAAAGAAGAACTTACCCAAACAGTTTCTCTGCAGCCTCTCTGGAAATCGTTTGGACTGGGATATTAGGCAATCCTGATGACTGAGACGGGGGAAACTGAGTGTGGTTGAAAGAAGGAAAGCCAGGTGTGTAAGGGTCACCGGTTCCCAGGTGAGCCTGGTAAGACAAGAAGGAGCTCCATCAGGCACTTACTGAGACTTGGTACTGAAGCTACAGCCTAAGCTTAGCCTAGCAGTTTAAGTTCTCAAAGGCTGAATGACTTTAAAATATCTGCGACTCTCCTTTGTATATGGCAACAGATGTCAAATTTGGAATTCAAACAAAAATAATAAAATCTCTAAGTAGTAATCTATCTTCTTGCTTCATGCTAAAATTTTCCCAGAATAGCGCCTGATATGGAAGGTACAGTTCCAATTAATTATTTAAAGAACCCTAACCCTCATTTTCTCAAGATGTAAGAACTTACATGTCCAAAGAGTGGAAGGTCTGCCTTCACAATGGGAAATCTCGCCTGATCCATGTATATCAAGACACCAACTGCATTTAAGCGTTCAGCATTTGCAACCTAAGGGAAAAAAACACCCATACAGCTCAGAAAACTAAGATCTTACTGCACAAATAACATACTGATTAAATTTAATTATAAAAGCCTAATGATAACAGAGAATCAAATTTACACTCTCCAATAGTTAAATGGTATTTAGGGGAAACATTCCATTAAATTACGAAGAGTCTAGAAAAAAAATGAAAACCTATCCAACAGAACTACTGACTTAGGATATGTCCCAGTCTAGTCCCTTGGCAGTTTGCCTTCTGGTCTTCCTTTATGTAAAACGCAATTGCAACTGAGCTCTGCTGGCATACTAAAATAGATGACACACATGATGCACACTGTGTCACCAGGCAATACTGATTCTTTTCACTTAAAAACAACTGTCAGCCCCTGGCACAACAGCCTAGTGGCCGGTACAACGACTCGGGGAGTGAACCAGTGGATGGAAGATCTTCCTCTGCATCTCCTCTCTGTAAATCTGCGCTTTCAATAACAATAAATCTTTAAAAAAAAAATTCAAATAGAAAGGTCACAGTTTTGAAATATGCTATGACTTTATGTGGTTAAAACTTACTTGATTGTTCAGCACTTTATTATTAATAAGTTATCAGAATGTAGGAAAATGAACAAGAAACAACATTTTGCTTAATAGTAGGATATCAATTTTTTTCATGGTCAATAGTTACCTTTTCAGCAAAAGTAATTTTCCCTGCTCTTACAATCACTAAGGATCCATTCACAGGAGACTTCAAATTCTCAAAGTCTTCTTTGGTGCCAAAATTAGCATGGATTAGCTTGCCCTAAAACAAGGACATTATATCCCATGAGCATTACAGTGTAAGAACAAACACAGAATCTAACAGAGAAGGGAAAGCTCAAAAGTCTCAAGTAGGGAAAAAGGGTCAAGGTCTTAAGATGATGTATGAGGCATCTAAAGTGAGAACGTGCAAGAGCTATCTCGAATGCAGTCAGGATTCCTGCTGCCTTGCACTCGCTAACCCATGCTGCCAAAATCTCAATCTAAAGGGTATCTTACACTTCACACTTTTTCCGTGTTGGGCAGCAGAAAGGGGTAGCAGGATGTACATGTAAAGCTTTGCTAGGGAGAACCAATTACATCAAGCCCTACACCCAAGTCTCACACGGCTTGGGACATACCAGCAATGGTTTGAATTGAAAACTCGAATTAATAAATCTATTAAGCATCATACTTGATTGATGATCTATAAAAACATCATGAATAATGTATGTTGTGAAAAGATGATGCAGATGGCAAGAATTTTTGCACCAAACTAAATTTATCTTGTAATTTCATTTTCCCACAAACTTTCTGAAGAACTCTCATACAAGCTGTCATCAGAATGTTACTAAACTCAGGTTTAGATGAGCAGCTATAAACTGAAGTTAACAATCAAATTATCTAATTACGGAAAGCCTACAGGTGAATAAAATCCTTCAATGAGCCATCTACCTACCCAAAGTCCAGGGAAAGTGATAAGGAACATATGACCAGGAAGGTAGAGAACTGTCAAGCTTGATCTGACTCAGAAGGTAACCACCTAGGCTTGGTGCAATAGTCTAGTGCTAAATCCTTGCCTTGCATGCACCGGTATCCCATATGGGTGCCAGTTCTAATCCCAGAAGCCCCACTTCTCATCCAGCTCCCTGCTTGTATCCTCAAAATCCAGTTGAGGACAGCCCAAAGCCTTGGGACTCTTCAACCTGCAAGAAGCTCCTAGCTTCAGATGGGCTCCGCTCTGGTCATGCTGGCCACTTGGGGAGTGAACCAGAAGATGGAAGATACATCTCTCTGTAAATCTGACTTTCCAATGAATTAAATAAATAAATCTATCTAAAAAATGAAAGAAGGTGACCACCAGATATACCCTGCCATAAAACATTTTTAAGCCAAAAATAATCTGCCTATTTTCCAATTCTGTATTAGTTTGGTCATATATGCCTAAAGCCACAAAGATGAAGTATTACAGAATTTGGCTTAGTGGTTGGCACAATAGTGTAGTGGTTAAAGTCCTCGCCTTGCACTCACCAGGATCTCATATGGTAGCCAGTTCTAATCCCTGAAGCTCTACTTCCCATCCAGCTCCTTGCTTGTGGCCTGGGAAAGCAGTGGAGGATTGGCCCAATGCCTTTGGACCCTGCACCCACGTGAGAGATCCAAGTAGAAACTCCTGGCTCCTGGCTTCAGACTGGCTCAGCTCTAGCCATTGTGGCCGCTTGGGGAGTGAACCATCGGATGGAAGATGATCTTCTCTGTCTCTCCTCCTCTCTGTATATCTGACTACCCAATAAACATAAATAGATCTTTTTAAAAAAAATTTGGCTGATGTGAACTCTGGTGTGCAGTATGCTAAGCAGACATCTGCGACACCAACATCCCATGTGAGTATTGACTTGCGTCTCAGCTGTTCCACTTTACATTCAGCTCCCTGCTAATGCACCTAGGAAAGCAGCAGAAGATGGCCTAAGTGCCCGGGCCCTGTCACCCACATGGGTGAATCAAGGGAGTCAAGTTTCTGGCTTTGGCCAAGCCTAGCCCTGGATGCTGAAGCCATTTGGGGATGAACCAGTAGATCTGTCTCTTCCTCCTGTTATTACTCTGCCTTTCAAACAAACGAATTTTTTAAAAGATTTATCTTACGTATTTGAAAGGTAGAGTTACAGAGGAAGGGATAGACAGAGAGGTCTTCAATATATTGGTTCACACTCCAAATGGCCTCAATGGCCTGTGCTGGACCAGGCTAAAGCCAGGGGTCAGGAGTTTCTTCTGGGTCTCCCATATTAGTGCAATAGCCCAGTGCTTTCCCAGGCACATTTCTGCGGGTGGCAATTTAACAGGCTACGCCACAACATCAAGCCCTAAAATATTAAGCCATGATGCGTATCCTTCCACACAAGGGAGACTCTAGTACATTCATGCATTTAGCATTTATCAGGCACTCTCCCAGGATCTGGGAAATGGCAATAAAATACACCTAACTCCTAATGCCTTATGGAAACAAATGGAATGAATAATATCAGGTACCATAAGTATTAAGAAGAAAAATAGAATAAGGGGGAAGTGATTGGCAAGAGGGCATTTTTAACAAAATAACCAAGAAAATGCCCTTCCCAAAAGTACAAGTTATCCAAGTAAGGAAATTATTTTCAATGTCAATGCTCTGGAAGACTGGATCAGGTAAGGGAAAAAGATGGGAGCATGCTTGGGCGGGAGTGTTCAAGAGCAGCAAGGAAGTTAAGGAGCCAGAGCAGCGAATGCAAGACCACTGAAGGCTGTGCAGACTTTAATAAGAATTCTGAATTCTATCATGACTGTGTCACCACAGATCTGTGAACCTCCAGATCAGTATATCTTACAAGTAAACTTATACTAGAACTCCTATTCTCATGAAGATATTAAGCTTTGAATTATTAGGCAGGACAAAGGGACTCACTTACTTACCGTAACTGTGGTAGCCTTACTGTATGCCACATAACCCACAGGATTCTCCACCAGGTAGGGTGCCTCATTGTTCTTATTCTGGAGGGTCACTGAGTTTTGCATACTGTTGAGAGAAGATTTTTAATTAAAATGAAGCTAACGGCTTGCTAAGAAAAATAATTAGTAGCTTTAATATATTTAAGCACATGACTTGCATTACCTGGTCTAAAGAAATACAGCTATGATTCTTAGCCTTTTTAAGTATCACTTTTTTTAAAAAGCAAACTTAAAAGCAGCTACTACTAGAGTCAGTATGCCATGTTTCAACATACCTGTCTTTGACCTGAATCTTCACAAAATGTTCATCACGCCAGACTTTGTTAAGTTTAAAGTCATGAAACTGATTTTCAATAAAATAGGCAAGGTTTTCATCATTCTGAGATCCAGCATCACGAGGGATATAAGAATTTTCATTCAGTTTCCTGGGAAGGAAAATAAAAGTGTCCAATAGAGTTTACTTTAAAAAGGGAAAAAAAAATGTTTTTCATTCAAGAATCATCAAGGCAGAGGTATGAGAGTCTTGAAAGCTACAGTAAGCTAACAAAAATGGTAACGGTGAACTGTATGTCTCAAGAAGACACTAAAAATTTAAGGAGGTAGCAGCGGGGGGGGGGGGGGGGGGGAGAGGAGCAAGCTAATCTTCCACTGTGGCACTGGTGTCTCATATGGACACCGGCTTGGCTGTTCCACTGCTGATCCAGCTCCCTGCTAACGGACTGAGAAAGCAAGAGAGGGCTCAAGTCCTTGGGACTCTGCACCCGTGTGGGAGACCCAGAAGCTCTTGGCACTGTGCTTCGGATGCCTCAGCTCTGGCCCTTTTGGCCATTTGAGGAATGAACCATAGAACAGAAGCGCTCCAACTCTGACTTTAAAGGAAAATTATAAATCTTAAAAAAAAAAAAAAAAGCAAACATATGCAGTTACTACATGGTCTAGATGAAAGCTACTGATGTCCTGGCTTTACAAGAGGTGAAAATGAAAAAAATGAGAGCAAGCAAGCTGCAAGGACCAAAGACCTGCCAGGTCCTCAGAAGTTGTTAACTTTTGCCCAGACTAGCACAGTTCCGATTCTTCACACACCCACCAGCTTGCCGTTGAACGTCACCCAGACCATCACCCTTGTTTTGTTCCAGTGCTCCCAGGAAGCACGCAGAGTCTGCTGAGGCAGTTCTGCAGAATGGGACGCAGCTCAGGCTGACCTGATGGTGTTGGTGAACTCCGTGCTATCCAGTTTCTTGGACAACAGTGTCTTAAGGTCTTCCCAATACAGCTGAGGTGGTATCACTGGCAACTCCTCGGCTGGCTCTGCATCTTCTGACTCTAGCACCTCTGTTTCCGTCGAGCTGCCACACTCAGCTTTCTGTTCTGCGCGTTTGCAATTGCCCAAGTAGCCAATCATGAACCCTAAGGATCAAAAGACATTTCAGAGCCGAACTCTGCCAATTATCATTTTATAATCTATCCCTGTTGGCAGTACTAGTTCTGTTAAGCCTGAAAAATACCAGTTTTAATAAAATTCTAAGTGGTATGCAAGTTATCATCCTTGTTAGGTTTGCCTATTGGAACCATTTAATCCCCTACAGGTAGGTAGGTATCTTTTCATTCCAAAAGCTTCCTTTGAACCAACCTCAGGCTGAATTTCTCTGTCACAAACATCCCATATTCATGTGTACATGTGCACATTATATTGAAATGAATCATCTGTCTCTTTCCCACCAGACTAAATGCCCAGAATAGTGGCATTTAAAAGGCACAAGATACACAGATGCAGAGCTATAATAATGGACTACCCTCAGCTTGTTCTAAGGAACACTGAAGTTTCGAATGGCCATTCTTACCAACTATGAAAAAAATGAGTAGCGCGATGACCGCACAGCACAGTGTCCCAGTGCGCCTTTTCGGTTTTGTGACGGTGGTTTTCACGCTGGGGTCAGGATTCTCCTCTTCTTCCATAGCCAACTTCATCTCCACACGACTGTTATCGCCATCTACTTGCCGGGCCAGACTAAACCGGGTATATGACAATGGTTCTCCACCGAACTGGGAAGGTTTTTTTGAAAAAGAAGCATATTATGAAGGAGACAAAGGGACAGTTATATTTACAATAAAGTCTAGTCATGTACTATTCTTGTAAGAGAAGTTTTCCTTTGAACCAGCATTCGTCCTGTCAGGGGGCTAGCTCAGGGCTCAGCTCTTGCGTATCTGTCTCTCACGTTTCTAACTCCCTGAATTCTCCTTCATCCTGAAGCTCAATTTCTCATAATTAACCTCTTCCAGCACCGAATCTAGCCCTTCTTTGTGGCATCAGTTATGCTCAAGATCACCAGTTGAAATACTTGATGATCACTTTAGGTACTACTTCATGGTGACCAAGTGAAATGCATGCTACTGTACTTCACTTTCTTGTAGATGCAGAAATAAAAGAGAAAGAAGCTTACCAAATTGGAAAATGCTGATCTGGCTTGATCCATCATGCTGAGCTGCCCCGCAGAGGAACCTGGTAAATGGAAAGGAAAGTCAATGAGATAGACACCAATGTACCAGGTTAGGGCCTTCCATTACTAGGTTACATTAATTATTAAAGGCACTTTTTAATGCTACTATAGAGTCTAGGAGCACGGCAATGGTATTGTTCTGGAGGAGAGGAAGATGCTGAAGTATTTAAAGATAAATGACCATGATGCCTGCAGCTTACTTTAAGAGGGTTCCTTTTTAAAAAGTATATGACAAAGCAACAACAACAGCCAACCAGCTATTGGTAAATCCAGCTAAATGACAGTCAATGTACTGTTCTCATTTTTCTAGCAGGTTTCAAATTTCAAAATCAAAATGTAGAGAAAACTGGTTAGAATGCCTCCCTTAATAAGCAAAATTGAGTAATCAAATTCAGTGGCTGGAGAAATTAAAAAAGACAGTAAATGACCTGAACACACACACACACACACACACACACACACACACACACACACACACACACGCAGAATTTAAAATGGCTTATGGCTACAAAGATAACAGAGCCTAAGAAAAGCAGTAAGATCCTTCCGCTTAAATGAACAGGCCTTAGAAGATCTGACATCTTTGGAACAAAAACAGCACACACAGAATGCTGCAATTTTACAGATGGAGCAGCCAATTATGAGAGGTTAAATAACTGGTCAAAGTAGGAACTGACTACCTAGCTGATGTTCAATGGATTACAGAAAGTATGTTCTCATCTCTAGAAACTAAGGAAACTAATCAAAGCAAAATATACCTTGCAAACAAGAAAAGGTGCTGTTAAAACCTTGACACAAACTCTGTCACTGCGGATGGGTGGAGGTGTGTGACCAGGCTGATTTGTGGGTTAAGCCGCTGCCTGCAGGGCTGGCATTCCTTATCCGAGCACTAGTTCAAACCCCAGGTGCTCAACAATCTGTCATGGAAAGCAGTGGAGGATGCTCCACATACTTGCTCCCTCTAATTAATTTAGCTTGTGTAAACCTAGATGCTTGAAGGTGATATGATGATGAAATTTGCAAGTTGAACATTCATTACATTCATTGTACAAAGATTGTGTCTATTTGCAAGTACATCAGTAAAACTAATAGCACATTAAATTCCCACTTAGCACAAAGCAAGCTGTAAGGGATATCAAAATTGTGAAATGTAAGATACTATATAAGCTGGCATTTGAAAAATTCTTTCTAAAACCTGTATTAACCACCCCCCCCCAATTTTTTTAAATCACCAAGCATTAAAGACCAGCACCAGACGCATTAGAACTATTCTCACAGGCACAATCTTTAGCCCCTGCTGGTGGAAAAAGCTTATCATTACCGCTGCACAGACCCAATCAGCAGGGCCAGAACCACAGGGCCCCACCCTGAGGCAATTTTAATCAGCCTTTTCTGGGAAAAAAACAGCTTGCCAGTTTAGCCCTCATCTAAACCAGCCTTTTTCAAGTGTTCTAGTTTCAAATAAATAGGCATTTGGTGCTGGCCTTTCTGCTTGAGCTCTTTGCTGCTGTGCCTCCTGGGAGGTATGAAGCAATGACTCAAATACGTGGGTCCCTGCCATCAGTGTGGCAGACCTAAACTGAGTGATAGGCTTTTCGTTCCTCGTTTGGGCCAGCCCTTTGTCCTGGCCGTTACAGGCATTTGGGGTGTGAACTAGCAGCTGGAAGACCTCTCTACCTTTAAAATAAGTTAGCAAAAAAGTAATCAATTATAGCAAGACTGAGGATCTGCAGAAACTGATAGATATTAAAACATACAACTGGGCCAGGTACAGTAGCTTAGTAGCTAAAGTTCTGGCCTTGAATACGCTGGAATCCTATATGGATGCCGGTTTATATCCGGGCTGCTCTACTTCCTTTCCAGCTCCCTGCTTGTGGCCTGGGAAAACAGTAGAGGACGGCCTAAAACCTTGGGACCCTGCACCTGCATGGGAGACCTGGAAGAAGCTCCTGGCTCCTGGCTTCAGATAGGCTAATCTCTGGCTGTTGTGGCCACTTGGGAGTGAACCAGCAGATGGAAAATCTTTCTGTCATTCCTCCTTTCTGCATGCCTGACTGTCCATAAAAATAAACCTTTTTAAAAAATTATGGCATAAAAGAAATCATTGGGGAGGCAGGCAGAAACTATGACCTACACAAATCTCCTTTATAGCAAAGTCACTCTTCCAAAATGACCTTAACAGACAGTCAAAAAGCTTCCTATTTAAATAGATTGCATTGCTAAAAGACCATATGCAACAAGACCAAACATTCTTCTGGATGGGCTATCATCACTGGGATAGTCACTCATTAGTGACCCATCTCTGGTGATCCAAAATTCCCAACTTGTCACACTAATAGTGACGGTTAAGCCAGCAATACATAGCCCCTCATGAGACAGGAGGAGATTCCGAAACACTACTAACAGCAAAAATAACAGCTTCTTTAAAACTCAACTACTTCAGGCCCGGCGGCATGGCATAGTGGTTAAAGTCCTCGCCTTGAACGCGCTGGGATCCCATATGGGCGCCGGGTTCTAATCCTGGCAGCTCCACTTCCCATCCAGCTCCCTGCTTGTGGCCTGGGAAGGCAGTTGAGGACAGCCCAAGGCTTTGGGACCCTGCACCGGTGTGGGAGGCCTGGAAGAAGTTCCTGGCTCCTGGCTTTGGGTTGGCATAGCATGGGCCGTTGTGCTCTCTTGGGGAGTGAATCATCAGATGGAAGATCTTCCTCTCTTTATCTCTCCTCTTCTCTGTATATCTGACTTTGTAATAAAAATAAATAAATCTTAAAAAAAAAAAACCTCAACTACCTCATTGATGCTTTCTGGCAATACAGCATTATCTTTAACTATTTTGGGGTGTCTCAAAACCAGAGATCTGCAAATAATACATATAGCCAAAGGGGGATTATTCAGCAAGGCACTTGCATAATGCACCTAAGATGCTGCCCCATTTTTCTTAAGAACAAGCCATTTCCTTGTTATTACTGAGGAGCCTATTTCAGTTTAGAAAACAGAGCTCGTATGAGATGAAGCTGCTGTTTGCTTTTAGATGTGTTATTTACTTGAAAAGTAAAGAGGGAGAGAAAGAACAGAGATCTTCCATCTGCCCAACTGCCCTTAACGGCCAGGTCCCCCAGGACGTGCGTTAGCAGAAAGCTGGGATTGGAAGCAGAGCAAGGAGGGGCCTGGACCCTGTCCTCCGGACGACGTGCAGGTGTGTTAACGCCTGCACCAAATATGCCCTCACCACCTGTTTTGGAGGCCTTCTCAGCCCAGTAACTATCTTTTTTTTTTTTTTAAACAAGACGACTTTAATCCTTTTTTACCCACTAACATTCTTCCTGCTCTTTGAGTCCTACTCATGTCTTCCAGGGGCAGCTCAAGAACCATCTATCTAAGAAGCATTCTCCCATTTCCCTCTACTGTTAATACTGAACTATGTGGCAATTAATGAACAATAGATTAACAACACTGGAGAATTCCTTGATACATGGGAGATTCTAAGTGATATAAAAAATATACCCACAAACATGTATTGACCCAGAACTTGCTGACAGCCAAGTCCCAAGTCTAACTTTAGGTGTCTAAAGGGAAAGGGCTGAGGAAGAAATTTCAGAACACAGGTATTGCACAGTTGGAAGGTGGGGATCACTTCAAGTCACTGCAATCTCTGTATTGAGCGCCCCACTGGAGACCAGGTGGAAGGCTCAGAGACTCATTTTATAGAGGTCAGCTCAAGGTTTAAAAAGTCACGCTGTCAGTAACTGCCTCTGGCTAGAGGACTGTGTTCCCCACACAGCTCCTCCACCCAGCCTTAGCTGCACTGCCACCTTTGCCAGACAAGGACATCTCATCAAAGAAACAATAAAGGGCGTGACATCGATCTCCAAGAAACTTCTTTTACAATGGAATTGTCTTTGGGAGACATACTTTGTAGACAAAACCAGCAGGGCCCCAAGGCTCTCTCAGGAGGGGGTCAATTCTGGAAATTTGCTCCTATGTCACCCTGTGGATGAGGTTCAACTCCCCAGCCGGAGGACTGAATCAGCAGCTAGGATTTCCAGCCTCATACCTTAGTCTGGAATAAAGGGTATCAAGTAGCCAAACACTTCTGTAACAGGACAACTATTTCCTACTTCAATCCTCTACACACACACACACACACACACACACACACACACCCCAGCAGCTCCTATCCTCTACACACACACACACACACACACACACACACACACACACACACACACACACACACACACACACACACACACACACACACACACACACACACACACACACACACACACACACACACACACACACACACACACACACACACACACACACACACACACACACCCCCCAGCAGCTGCTGGCAAGTCCCCGGAATAGGAGACGCACTCAAGGTGACCCACCGCAAGGGGAGTGCGGCCAGGGAGAGCAATCTTCATCAAATCTTATTTCCTCAGCCAGCCTCCCCGTCACCACCTTTGAGAGCTGTCCAACAGCCACAGCCACACACAATAGGCCCGGGGCAGGCCCCTTGCATCGCCCCTTCACTTCCCAACACGTACACACACGCGCGCGCGGACATACGCAAGGCCGCAGCGGCCAGGCCGCCTCCAGCCTCTAGCAGATCCCTAACCACAACACCTGCGGCCTTCAGTCTGCAATTCCAGCCGCCCGGGACCGCAGGGCGCAGGCTGTCCCCGAGATCAACCGCCACACGTGTGCGCGCGCACACACACACACACACACACACACACACACACTCGCAACCCAATCCCGCACAGCTCCGTCCCCTAGGGCAGCAGGCCAAGACCGGGGTCTAGTGAGGAGTCCAAGGTCACCCACGGACCCCAGGGCCCACTTCCTGGAGCAGCCACGTGCGCCCGGGGCAGCAGGCCTGCGTGGCCGCGGTCGTTCGCGAACCCCTCCACGCGGGGCCCGTCCCGGACAGAAGGTCTGGCGGTGTTCAAAGGGAGAGAGCGAGGGGGTGAGGACAAGATGGAGCTCCGGGGAGCCGCGAGGACGCTTAAGGGACATCATCTCGGTCTCGGAACCTCGTGGAGTAGCCACTGGCCTTCCCCCTCATCCCCGAACGGGGAGGGACGCTGCTTCCCGACTGCACCTGCAGCCCCGCGCTCTCCCGGGCGCCCCAGCCGCCTTCCCGCACGCGGGGCGCCGCTGCATCCCGCCGGCCTCCCTCCCCGCTGCTCCCCAAAGCCTGCTGGACAGCACCGGGGCGAGGGCCGACCCCCGGGGAAGGCTCGGCTCCGAGCCCGCCGAGCTGTGGAAGCGGCGCGTCACTCACACAGGCGCCTCCTCCGTCCGCCGACAGCGCGGCCAACACCGGCGATCCCGACGCCCTCTGAAGGTACACACGACCCAAACGGGCGGTTTATACGCTGGACCCGCCCTCTCGGCAGGAGTTGCGTCACTTCCGTCTCACGTATCTCTACCTACGGCAAGGAGAGCGCCGGGGGCGAGGGATGCGTGCGCACCCGGACGGAGTGTCCTGCGCTGAGGGAGCGCGAGGTGGGGACCGAGTGCCTCCAGAAAAGGCGCCAAAACGGCAGGTGGCACGGAGGGAGGCGGCCGATTGGAGCGGCCGCTTCCGCCGCGGCGTCCTTCTTCGCGGGCGCAGCCGCCGAGAGTTCTGGGCCTAACCTTGACTGACCTAACAGTCCCTCAAGGACAAGGTCAGCTGTGTTACTGTGGACTCCCCGAAGCAGTTCCACTGGAATGCTATGCTATGTTTCTACAACCCCAAAAATACCTTAGGGGAAAAAAGGCAGTTAACAACAAAATGCAAATAGCCGTTCATTAGAAATACTAACTGCCTGTAAACCAGGTCGGGCACAATGCGTAGCCCATTGTCTAAAACCTGAGCAACGGGAAATGGTAAATATTTATTAGGTAATATTGAAATGGTAATATTTATTAGGCTGTCAGGCTTGTAGACTAGCTTTCAGATTCATTGCCATTGTTGCCATTATAGGATTACTGGAATGCACGGACAACTTAAAAACGGATTCCTGTCACTTTTTAACCTTTCCCTTCTGGCCAGTAATTCAGAGAGTGGAGATGCAGATAAGAGGAGAGAAAGCCCCAACCAAAAAGTAGTTGCAGATAAGGCATTTTCTGGATCAGAGAGGAAGGTTTAAAGAGAGGTGCTTTAAGATGCAAATCTGTTTGCATGCCTCTGGTTATACTTTCTCCTAATTACTTCCCCAAATAGGGCAAGGACTTGGAATTTACCCACTTCCTTTGCTTGCTTCTCATTCCCTAAAATCTTTCTCTGCTCAAAGAGAAATATTTCACACCCACATGTTGGTGCAAAGGACCCAGGCCTCAGCTGTGTTTTCTGCACAAGGAAAATAAAGCAATTTAGGCCTGAAAAAAAAAAGTCATTAAGCAGGAGCATGATGCTCTGTGCTAGATACACCCTTTGAAAGATGAAGGCACAGAATCAGACCTCCCTGAGGAGCCAAATGAGGCGACACCTTAAATTCAAACAATAAGACCAAGTTCCCTTCTGCTTTCACTTTCTGGTGATCTAAAAGATTTTATTTAAAGATTTATTTATTTTTATTTTTTTTAAAGATTTATTTTATTTTTATTGGAAAGGCCGATATACAGAGAAGAGAGAGAGGAAGATCTTCTGTCTGATGATTCACTCCCCAGGCAGCCTCAAAGCCTGGAACTGAGCCAATCCGAAGCCAGGAGCCTTTTCCAAGTCTCCCACGCGGGTGCAGGGTCCCAAAGCTTTGGGCCGTCCTCAGCTGCTTTCCCGGGCCACAGGCAGGGAGCTGGATGGGAAGCAGGGCCACCGGGATTAGAACCGGTGCCCATATGGGATCCCAGGTGTGCAAGGCAAGGACCTTAACCACTGCGCCACTGCGCCACCGCGCCGGGCCCAAAGATTTATTTATTTTTATCACAAAGTCAGATAGATATACAGCGAGGAGGAGCAGAGACAGAGAGGAAGATCTTCCATCCGATGGTTCACTCCCCAAATGGCTGCAACAGCCAGAGCTGAGCCAATCCAAAGCCAGGAGCCAGGAATTTCCTCCAGGTCTCCCACATGGGTGCAGGGTCCCACATGGGTACAGGGTCCCACATGGGTGCAGGGTCCCAAGGCTTTCCCAGGGCACAAGGAGGGAGCTAGGTGGGAAGTGGGGCTTCCAGGATTAGAACTGGCGTTCATAAGGGATCCCAGTGCATGCAAGGTAAGGACTTTAGCTGCTAGGCCACCGCTCTGGGCCCAGATATCTTAAAATAAAAAAAGGAGAAGAAGAAGCAAACAGTGTTTTACATTTCCAAGTGAAGCTTTTATAGCCCAGGAGGAAACGGAATTTGGGAGATTAACCATTCATGAAAATTCATGGCACTGGGCCCAGTGTGATAGCTTAATGGTTAAGGTCCTCACCTTGAATGCACCAGTATCCCATATGGGTGCTGGTTTTTATCCAGGCAGCTTCACTTCCCATCCAGCTCCCTGCTTGTGGCCTGAGAAAGCATTCGAGGATGGCCTGGGGCTTTGGGACACTGCACCCATATGCAAGATTTGGAAGAGGTTCTTGGCTCCAGGCTTCAGATTGGCGCAGCACCAGCCATTGCAGCCACTTGGGGAGTGAATCATCAGATGGAAGATCTTGCTCTCTGTCTCTCCTCCTCTCCGTACATCTGCTTTTCCAATAAAATGCATAAATATTAAACAGAAAAAAGAAAGAAAATTCATGGCACGTTAGTCTCGTGGCTGGAGTCCTCATCTTGCATTGCCAGGATCCCATTTGGACGCTGGTTCATATCTGGCAGCTCCACTTCCCATCCAGCTCCCTGCTTGTGACCTGGGAGAGCAGTTGAGGATGGCCCAAAACTTGGGACCCTGCATCCACATGAGAGAAGAAGCTCCTGACTCCTAGATTCACATTGGTTCAGTTCTGGCTGTGGCAGCTACTTGGGGAAGTGAACCAGTGGAAGATCTATATTTCCTTCTGTCTATAAAAATCTGCCTTTTCAATAAAAATAAATAAATCTTAAAAAAAAAAAAAGTCTGATTTGGGGCCCAGCACAATGGCCTATTGGCTAAAACTCCTCACCTTGAGAGTGCCAGGATCCCATATGGGTGCTGGTTCTAATCCCGGCAGCTCCACTTCCCATCCAGCTCCCTGCCTGTGGCCTGAGAAAGCAGTGGAGGTGGGCCCAAAGCCTTGGGACCCTGCATCCAGGTGGGAGGCCTGGAAGAAGCTCCTGACTGAATTGACTCGGCTCCAGCCTTTGTGGCTGCTTGGGGAGTGAACCAGCAGATGGAAGATCTTCCTGTCTGTCTCTCCTCCTCTCTGTATATCCGACTTTGTAATAAAAATAAATAAATCTTTTAAAAAATTATTTTAAAAAATTTGATTCAGTGCAAATACCTGTCGTATAAGAGAAACATAAAACCTATAACCAAACTCAGACAAGAGATTGGTTGCTTCCAGGTTAGAGAGAGAGAGTACAAACAGATGGGTACTTCACAGAACCAAGTTATTCATGATCTGTGTCCTGTGTACCCAACACATCCAGTGTTTCATCTTTTATTATTATTATTATTTTGTGTTCTGAAATGAGCAACACCAATTTTTTTAAAAAAAGAAACACTAGAATTTTTGTTTCCCTCCACATCACTTGTGATGAGTTAAGTCAAAATAGTAAAGCCAATTTCACCAGGGAGAGCAGCAACTCAGAGCCCTTAAAAATGGCTCTGAATCTTCAGTAGCATTTCTCAGACTGCATTAGAAGAAAGTTACCCAATAAATATGCAATGTTGGAGCTGCCACTGTGACACAGCAAGTAGGTGCCAGCATCTCTTACTGATGGTGGTTCCAATTCTGTTGGCTCCGCTTCTTTTCCAGCTCTCTCCTAAATGGCCTGGGAAAGCAGTGGAGGTTGGCCTACTAAGTGTTTTGGCCCCTGAGCCCACGGGGGAGCATGGCTTCAGAAGGCCCAGGTCTGGCTGTTGCGACTATCTGGGAAGTGAACCACCAGAGATGGACGATTGCTCGGCGTCTCTTCTCTCCATCTTTCTCTAATTCTGTCTTTCATTTGAAGAAAGAGACCTTTTAAATTATTTTGCAGGGTTTTTACAATGTTCTAATTTATTTGATTTACTTATCTACAAGAACCTTCTAAACAGATTACTTAAACTAAATTGGTTTCTTAAGAAAAAGAAAAAACTATATATACCAAAAAAAATATATATATATACTAATACTAATAATAAAAATTTCAGGGGCTGTCGCCATGGCCTAACTGGATAATCCTCCATCTCCAAGCACCAGCAGCACATAGGGGCACTGTTTTGTCCTGGCTGCTCTACTTCCCAGCTGCCTACTTAACTGCTTATGGCTAGCAGAGGATGACCCAAAACCTTGGAATTATGTACCTGCATGGGAACCTGGAAGAGGCTCCTGGCTCCTGGCTTCAGACAAGCTCAGCTCTAGCCATTGCAGCCATTGGGGAGTGAACTAGTGGACAAAAAATCTGTCTTCTCCTTCTCTCCATAAATCTAGCTTTCAAATAAAACTAAAACTTTGAAAAAAATAATGATTTCAGTGACTAAGTAGTTACAAGGAGAATGTAACAGCTGGGTTTGTGAAAGTCTGTGTATGATGTATTTACTGGTCATCTCTGTGTAACTTGGAGAGGCAATTTGTCTTTGGTTCCTATTTTATACAAACATTCGAAGATTTTATCTTTATCTAGCTTTTTTTCTGAAAACATCTTTTCAGTTAGACATAGAGAGAAAAAGGAAGAGAGGAAAAGCATGCTGCCAACTGCTGGTGATTCTTCAAAAGCTGGAAAGGGCCTGGGTTCGGGGCCAGCCAAAGCTGGGGATGCAGAACTCAATTCAGAAAACCCGTGAGAGCTGCCTGCCAGCATCTACATCAGATGGAAGAATCCTAACAGGTGTCTTAACCACTATGCTAAATGCAGGTCCCTGTTATGAGACTTTCATTGCTGTCACTGCTATTACTAATTTTTTTTCAAAAAAAAAAAAGATTTATTTCATTTTTACTTGAAAGACAAAGTTACAGAGAGAACGAGGGACAGAGAAAGAGAGATCTTCCACTTGCTGATTCACTCTCCAAATGGTTGCAAAAGCTGGTGCTAAGCCAATCAAAAGCCAGGAGCTTTCTGCAGGTCTCCCACATGGTACAGGAGCCCAAGGACTTGAGCCATCTTCTGGCAGGCCGCAAGCAGGAAACTGGATCAAAGTGGAACAGCCAGGATGGAAACTGGTGCCCAGACAAGATGCCAATGCCAGAGGTGAAGGTTTAATCTACTACTCCATCACACCAGTC